TTGGTTAATTTTTTTTTCAAACAAGAGAATTAAGATGTTTCACATATCAATTTGACTAACTTTCAGAAAGTACTTGAACATTTCCATTAGAAACAAAGGAGAGTAACTAATCCTGTTTGGGTCTAGAGTGGAATTTCTTTAATGAATCAAACCATGCAATACTCCTTTTTGCTGAGAATACTAAAGTTACAAATAGAAAACAAAACAAAACAAAACAAAACAACAAAAACAAATGGGAAGCTAAATATTCCCTTATTATTAACTGGGAAAGCCAATCAGAAATCTCTTACCCGTCATTTCTACTCTACCCTCATTCCACTGACTGACAAAAAATGAACTTTGGTAAGCCCAATTCTCTTAGACATGGAAGCCTGATGGGTTATACTGCTTCTTCTTCACATAATTTATTCTGGTTTCCATGCATGTACAGTGATGCCTCACACAACGAACTTAATTCGTTCCAGGAGCAAGTTTGTTATGCGAAAAGTTCGTTATGTGAAACGCGTTTTCCCATAACAATACATGTTAAAAAAAATAATTCGTTCTGTAGCATAAAATATGCTAAGATGACATAAAAAAAGATAAATTTTTTGTTATTACTTTTATTTAGATACATCATGATATAAAAAAATTATTGAGTTTAACTTAAAAGGACGACTGCCGTGATACGTGCGTGATTTAATTCGTAATGAAGAACGATTGCCGCGATACGTGCTTAAGTTAAGCGCAGTGACTAACGACTGCCTGCAGTGCCTGCGCGGAAGGATGCAATACATCGGCAGCGATCGTGGAAGCTCGGGCGAAGCAGTCGTGGAAGCTCGGGCGACTTCGTTGTGTGAAACGAAGTTCGTTGTATGAATCATGAAATGAAGTTCGTTGTGTGCAGCGTTCGCTGTGCGAGGCGTTCTTTATGCGAGGCACCACTGTAGAAGATACCTTATACATATGGTCCACTTAGTAAACGAAAGCTGAATTTCAAGGAGGTTAAATAACTTTCCCAAAGTTATACAACTTAGTGAGTAGTAGAGCAAAGACTTGAGAGCAGGACTGTCTCATTCACTGCTAAAGTCCTCAACCACTTTACCATTTGATGGGCATTATAAATGAATAATAAAGAAAGTGATTGGAAAAAATATGAAAAGATGATGGGGAAAGATTAATTTTTGAAAATAGCTTGGAAGATACCTTCAATGAAAAGCATAGATGATGAGAGGACTCCAAACCACGAGAATAGCTTAAGTAAATGTGCCAAGATAGTATTGTTTTATAACAGTGAATAAATTTGTGTTACCAATCCCCCCTCCCCAAGAACTCAAATGATAGCTGAATTTGCACAGGTATATAAGGGCCTAGTTATAGAGTCTTTTTTGACAGGCTCTGTGGAAATCATATGATATGAGAGTAGAGGTCTTGCTATGGGCATGAAGATCAGTTAGGAATTTGTTTCTACAGACCGAGTAAGAGAAGATTAATTGAGAAGTTGATGTGAGAACCAGAGTTACAGAAGAGGTAATTCTATCAAAAGCCCAAGGTCACAAAGGTAATAAATTATAGACCCAGAGCTATAACTAGGTCTTCTGACTGCAATTCTAATCAATAGTCCATCCACTTAAAAATATGTACCCAGAAAGCATTATTAACTTTTGAAGAAGAATGACTTTGAAAATGTCACTCAACTTTCACATCTCTATTTTTATTCATCATTGGTTGGCGAGATATAAAGCATTAATTATTCATCATGCATTCAATGTTTAATTGCTAGTTAATAGCTCCTAATATATTTTAAGGAAATCAACTTGTTTGTTTACTTGGAAAATCAGTTTCTGTAGATGAAGATGAAAATATGCCCTCAACTCTATGAGTCATACTATAACTCTGTTTCTTAATGCTACAGAAACTCAGGAAGCAAGGACCATTCTAAGTTTTGTACAGCTTGAAGCTTATATAATTTCAGAGAGTGGTCTTTAAGAAAAATTCACAAAATTATTAATATAAAATTATATCTTTACAGTAAGAAATATCACAATAAATTATTGTTTTTTTAGGGATTTTCTGCTGAAATCTCTTATTTATAGGATATGCTTCAAACAAATGCAGCCTTGCTTTTTCTTTGTATTATACTCTCTGCAACTCTCAGACTGCAGAAAGGCCTTGTACGTGAGAAACCTTAAAGCATAAGCTTCATTTGATTCACAGTAAACCCACCTCTGGTTAGAAGGAACCTTTGATTATTCTAGTCCAAACATGCTAAATCATAATTCAATCCTTCAAGAATTTATATCTAAGATGACCTCACTATTGTTTTTTGCTGAAAGGAAATTTCACTATTACTTTTTGCCATAATTGTGACTGTTTTGCTTTGTCTTTCCCATGAAAGTTAACACATTAATACATACCAGTGAATTCTTCTCACTGTTTTACGTGATCTCTCATTAATTCTTTTTTGACCCATTGCAATATACACTGAGTGACCAGATTATTATGACCACCTGATGTTTGTAGGCAAATTAGGTATAATTTCACAGTTACCGAGATAAAATGTCTCCGATTCTCACAGGAACACAAGGATTGGACAGTTGTATATTGGGAAAAAGTCATGTGGTCCAATGAATCACGTTTCCAGTTGCATCATGCAGTATTTGGCAGAAACAACATGAAAGCATACACCCCCACATGCATGAGTACATGCATGTTGGGTGCAGTGTTATGATTTGGAGCATGTTTTCCTGGCATGATTTGGGCCCTTTAATTTGTGTGGAACAACATCGGAATAGGACAACATACCTAAGTATTGTTGCTGATCAAGTTCATCCTATCATGTTGATGGTGTATCCCAATGGAGATGGCTTCTTCCAACAAGACAATGCGCCATGCCACAGTGCTCGTATTGTGCAGGAGTGGTTTCAAGAACATGAGGGAGACTTTGCCTTGTTTAGATGGCCCCCACAATCACCAGATCTCAATCCAATTGAGCATTTGTGGGACGAAGTTAAAAGAGCCATCAGGCAGCTGGTTCCACAACCATCAAATCTCACAGAACTGGACATCACGCATGGTGTCAGATTCCTCACATCACTTTTAAACATCTCATGGAATCAATGCCAAGAAGAATCATTGCAGTATTAAAGGCAAAAGGTGGCCCAATCAAGTACTGATGGGTTGATCATAATAATCTGGCCACTCAGTGTATTTCTTTGTATTAATACTGCTTCTATCTCAAGCTTTATACAATGTATGTCATTGTTTAAATGTCATTATTTAAACAGTCAATTGCCTTTTAAAAAATTCTGAGACAATGGCTTTTGCATTTAAATGCTATTTAATATTTTATGGTGTTCATTTATTCTTATAGACATGCATTCCATCTAATATCTTTTGGCTTTGCTTGTAATGAAGGTCTGCTGGAAATGAATTCCCTTAGTTTTGTTTATCTGAAAATGATTTAGTTCACCCTCATTTTTAAGGATATTTTCACTGGATATTGAATATTGAGAGTTTTGTTCTCTCATCACTTTAAATATTTCATTACTATCCCCCATGATTTCTGAGAAAAAGTCAATGATCATTCTTATTGTTGTTCTTTTGTATGTGTCATGACTACTTTTCCTTTTTTGCTTTAAATATTTTCTATTTATGTTTAAAGTTTAATTCTGAGTTGTTTTGGTATTTTTTCTTTTGACCAAAGACTCTAGAGCTCATTTTAAAGCAACATATTGCCGTGCTCTTCACATGCAATACAACACTAGATTCTCAGTCAATTGCTTTGTTGATATCTATAGTCATCTTTACTCTTCTTTAACTGTTGATGATCTGATTTGGGAATTCCACCAAACTCTTTTTTATTTTATTTTATCTTACTATTAACATTTTGGGCAATTCACTATTTGTTTGAATATCTGAGAGAGGAAAGTCAAAGAATGGAACTCAAACTTAACACATTGTGCACCAGTAGTTTTACTGCTAGCTTTACCCAGTGGCTAGATAAGTTTCTATTGAATGAGTACAGAAAACATTTTACAAAGTATCATACTTTAAAACAATATTAGCTTCTAAGAACATGTAATAAATAACTTCAAAATGCAATGGGTATTTAATTTTAAAGCTTGCCTTTAACATTTATATAAAGCACTGTGTAATATGAAAACATGAGAATGCTCGTGATCTGCCTGCAATGTGTTGTTTGTACATTTTTAATATAACTGTTCTGTTGTTGGAGAAAATGGAAAATAACTTCATGGTTGTTTGTAAGTTTATCATAGTTATTCTTACAGAGTAACTACTTCTAATTTTTTGTTTAAAACCTTTAACATGTTCTGATAGAAGTTGGAAGATACACCAAACACAGTACAAATGCATAGCCCTATTGCACTCGAGAGTTAAATAAGATCAAATATGTTAAAAGTAGTTTATATACCAAAAAGCTTTATTCAAAATATTAAGGTGTTATCATCATTGTTTTTTGAACTATGAAACTAAAGTTTGATTGTAATTATTTTTTAAAATATATTTTACTGATTTTTTTAAAGAGAGGAGGGTAGAGGGATAGAGAGTTAGAAACATCCATCAGTTGCCTCCTGCACACTCCTTACTGAGTATGTGCCGGCAACTAAGGTACATGCCCTTGACTGGAATCAAACCTGGGACCCTTGAGTCCACACGCTGACGCTCTATCTACTGAGCCAAACCGGTGAGGGCAGGTTGTAATTCTTAATTGATTTATTGGACCTTGATACATGCTTCATACAGTGTCCCAATCTAAAACACAAAAAGATCTGTTAGGTGATAAGGATTGAAAAAGTTGCTTGCATCACAGCCTGGCTTAGCTCAAAGCCTCTGGTCTGCATTTGGAGTCAGCAGCCTTAGAAATTGTGAATACTGTACCTATAAGTACTGAATGATGACAAATGTCACTGTAGTAACTCCTAATATTTAAAAATGTATGTACCCTTAAAATGCATGAACTTCTATTAAAATCCAGTTCTCTTAATTTTTATTCCCAGGTAACCTTGGACGGGTGGACCAGGTCTCTGAGTTTGAATATGATTTGTTCATTAGGCCGGATACCTGTAATCCACGTTTCCGAGTCTGGTTCAACTTTACTGTTGAAAATGTGAAAGAATCACAGGTGAGGGAAATAGTGGATGCCTTCAGTTTGGTTTTGGTAAGATTATGTTTTTGTTTTAGATTAGGAATATTAAAAAAGTCATGACCATGTTGTGCATATATAACAGTGAGACAGTTTTGTTTCAAGAGACATAGATAAATAGGTATAATATGTTGTCTTTTGTTATCCAAAGATTATTAAATAATAAAAATAGATAACTGAGAACAAAAAGTAAGCTTTAGAAATTGAAGCATTAACTTAATATGGTAGGCTTCCTTGAGGAATACAGTCAGAAACTATAGGAGGTGACTTGTATTATATTTATCATGGTATGTTCTCTATATCATTTCTTCTATAAAAACCTGTAAATCATTATACAATTCTCACAGGGCCTCAGTTTCAGGAAAAGCTTTTCTTCTCCTATACAATAAGATGTTTATCTCATAAAAACAATATGATTCTTGCAACTCACTTCTATTTTCCCTTTGCTTATCTGTTGGAAAACTCAGTCAATTTTATAGCCCTCTCTCATGATTTTAGAAAACATTTTTGCTTGTGTTTCTGTGTACTGACTTTTCAAAAAATTCAGATAATAATAATTTGTCTTTAATTATGGTTTCATTTACATTTTCTAACTGTATATGATTTCATAATCCTGTTCAAGTCTTCTTTGAATGGGAGAGTGTATTGATGAAGAGAGAACTAAATACACATGCTTGGAACAAACATGAAAATATAATCTTAAGAAATCAGTTATCATTCTGTTATACTGAGACAGATAATCACGAAAGGCTTTGCATAAACTTTGTATACATAGTGATATGACTTTTTAAAGGAGATGAATGCCGTTTTCATTCAGGGTCATCTAGTTTTTAGTATATTTCAGAGAATGTGAGGAGGTTGTTTAATTTCCTCGTTCAAGTCAATCTCTCCTGTTTGCTCTTTCACCTTCTTCCTTGATTCTCTCTATTCTTTTCAACTGCAACTTGAATTGTGTGTCAGACAGTGGTCAACATCTGGAATTTAGGGACTCGGAGTCCTCCTTGACTCAGTGCTGTTATCCTGGCCCACTGGCTCTAGCGGAAGAGGGAGGGGTCAGGAACAGCCATGTAACTTTACTGCTGTTTCTCCCAATTCCCCACAACATCACTGACACAGGACTTCCTGTGTGTAATATTACTGAAGTTTGGGGTTTAACTGGAAGGAATTAAATTTATGGGAGAACTCTAAACATTGTTAGCTACATATGATTTATCTCAGCATTTTAGGAGAACTGGGGGGAAATTACACCCTACACAGAGAGCTGCTCAAGGATAAACTTGAGTTCCTACCTTTGTTTCTGTGTTTTACTTCTCTTTCATGGGAAAAATCCTTTTGGGTATTTTTTTCCCCTTTCATAGTAAGAGGAACGATATTTCTCTCTCTACCAACCTTAGGAAAACCTATACTTTACCTACAGGCACTCACCTGAACCTAGGATTGTCCAGCTTATTCCATCAAGATAATTGATAATTCCAAAGTGCATTTACCAGTCTATGTTACTGAATCTTGAGATATAACTTACAGCAGAGGCTTTAATCAGATGTACTAATCTGAGTCTTAGCACTCTTAGTTTGGGTTTCCTATGAAGATCTCTACTATCATGAGATAAACACACAACCTCTTACTCTTCTGTGGTTTTCCTGTATCATGTCAGTTGGTGACTTACAGTTGGCACATACACACACTACTGATAATTTTGAGACAATATAGTCAATTTATATGAATTTTATTAAAAGTGTTATAAGCCAGAATTGCTAAATTCATAAAGGAGATTAGTCTTTTCTTCTTTTTGCACAGCATATGTGCATCCTTCAGCTTGCCTACTGCAAACAAGAATCCACGAACTCCTTCAAAATGAGACCTATTTCTTTCCTAAAAAAACAGCATTGTCTATCCTCATTATATCCTTGCTAAATACTTTGTGGAAACCCTGAAATTATAGTGCTTTTTAATTTTGGGCCATATTAAATTCTAACCCTAATTTTATAGTTATGTTTTTGTTTAAAATATCTCTTCCAGAGTTATAAAATATTCATATTACATGTTAAAGTCATGCAGTCTATTTTTGTAGTCTTGTTTACCAGTTCAATAAGCAAATAACATGAATATGCCCCGAGGGATTACTGAAATAAGACAGAGCTTATTTTTAAAGTTGGAGGAACCAATATTTTCCCAGTTTTTTGGATTCTATCTTTATACCCAGTACTATTCTACCTTTGTTACAGTTAGAAATCATGAACATGTTTATCTGGTTTCCTGGAACCTGATGCTTTATCAGCCTTTCAGTGGGCCATTGCTTCATCAACTATAATCACATTATATAGTTATGGAAATCTGTCTCAAGAAAGCATAAAGATCTGCTGGAAAGATACAGTATATATCTCTAGCTCACAGGATATTTGTTTTCATGGTTATCTACATGAAAGAGAATGATTTTACTATTAATTTTGACTTGTGAGGTCTGTTTTCATAATGTCTCTTCTTGTAATCTTTTTCCATCTCTCCAATTTCCGTTAAAATGTGACCTGCATGAATGTATTCTAGTCAGGAACCTATTTCAGGTTTGGTACTAGCAGGCAAAGCAATATTAGTCATCAAAGACTGACTTCATTAAATGAATGTTAAAAATCACAGCATCAAATATACTGTATAAACAGGTCTAGCTTTTGGGTTACTTTGTTTTTAGGAAGTGATAAAAACTTGGAGCATGCAGTGCTATATTGCAGGACTGGTATATAAACCTCCAAAAAAAATAGTGGCTAACTAGTGTATTTGCAAGAGACTCTGAAAACTAAACATCCTTGTACCATTTCCTCTCTGAAAAACCTGTATTAAATGTTCTTATGTGGATATTTACTACTGATGCAGCAGAACACACACTCAATGTGCAAGCAAATCATCCTATTTAAATATATACTAGATGTCTGGTGCATGGAATTGGTGCATTTGGGAGGGGGGGCACTCCCTCAACCCAGCCTGCACTCTCTCGCAGTCTGGGAGCCCTTGGGGGATATCTGATTGATGGCTTAGGCCTGTTCCCCAGGGAGTGGGCCGAAGCCATTAGTTGGACTTCCTTAGCACTGCCATGGAGGCAGGAGATGCTCCTGCCACTGATGCTGCACTCGCCAGCTCTGAGCCTGGTTTCTGGCTGAGCAGCACTTGCCCTGTGGGAGTGCAGTGATCACCAGGGAGCAACTCTGTGTTGAGTGTCAGCCCCCTGGTGGTCAGCATGCATCATGGCAACCTGTCATTCTGCCTTTTGGTCTATTTGCCTATTAGCCTTTTATTATATAGGACTAGAGGCCCTGTTGCACAAAATTTGTCCCTTGGGGGCATCGTCCCTCAGCCTGGCCTGCACCCTCTCACAATCCAGGACCCTTCGCTTTTTACCACCTGCCTGCTCACTGCTTCTTACCACTCGGCTCACTGCTCCTTAGTACTGCCACGGAGATGGGAGAGGCTCCTGCCACCACTGCTGCACTTGCCTAACATGAGCTGGCTTCTGGCTGAGCTGCACTCCCCCTATGGGAGCGCACTTAGCACCACGGGGCAGCTCCTGCATCGAGTGTCTGCCCCCTGGTGGTCAGTGTGCATCATAGCGACCAGTCGTTCTGGTCATTCTGCCATAAAGGTTGTTTAGGCTTTTATTATATAGATTCACAAAAGCTTCAGCCAGTAAGAGGAAATAAAATGGTCTGCCTTGACTATTTAAACTTTGTTTTATTTCCTTGATATTCTTTACATTTCTTTAAATTTATTTTCTCCTTACTGATTATTAAAGTAGTCAATGTTTAATGTAGTAAATTTAAAAAGTATAGATAATTATTAGAAGCAGAGGAAGACACATTCACCCACCCACCCATAATCTTACTACCAAAAGCGCAAATACTATTAATCTTTTGTCATATTTACTTCTAGGTTTATTTATTTTCTATTTTTGAAGCATAATTTAAGTTAGTACCATATATACTTTTCATGTCTTGCTTTTAAAGAAGCAGAACAGCACCACAAAGCAATTTATATCACTAAAAATATCATAAATATGGCTGTACAATAGCTATTTACTACTGGATCATTTTCTAACTCTTGAGCATTAATTGTTGTTATAAATAACACTGTAGTGAACATCTTTATGCATGGAATGTTACCCACATTTTATTTTGCTTCTTCAGGATAAATTCCTATGAGAGGAATTGATGGCCAAAGGAAATTAGTATTTTAAAAATGCATGATACATGTTTCTAAATAACCACCAGAAAATGTATACTGTTTTAGCAGTGAATGAGATGCTTTTCATTGAATTTCCTGCTTTGTTTTATGAACTCAGATGGTCATACATTTAGAACAAATTGATTGTTTTTCTCATTTACTTTGAAACTTCACACAAACAAATGGGATATGAGCAATGTTTCAGGTCTTTAGTAATAAAGGAATTAATTGTGTTCAAGCATAACATGAGACAACAAAACAGATCTACTTTTTATTTTCACCCTTTTCTTCATCAAATCCTCTTATATGGGTATGCTAACAGTTTGTTCTCTGAGGTATGTTCTGGGAAATTAAAATTCCAAGAGAATAGATGAATAGGATGAATAAACAAAATTGAAGGGATTGAAGTCATTGCAATTATTGGTAATATAAAGGGGTAGAATTGCCTATGGGAATAGCTCAATGAAGTATAATGGAAGGGCAGATATTGGAGAAGTGGAGCTCCAAGTAGTTTGAATGTTGTTGAAAAATTGTCTCTATAGATCTTGGAAAAATATCAGCGAGGCCTAAACAAAAGTCATTGAGAAAGGAGGAGGAAAGAGGGAGTAGTGAGATGACACCAATAATGAGAGGTAGTGGAGAGATAATATGATGAAATGAGATTTCAAAGCTATGTTCATGTAAGTGAAGGATCAATATTATAAAGATATGGTTATCCCCAAATCAACTTAATTTTAATACAATTCTAATAAAAATTCACCTAAATTCAT